TCGAACAATAATGCCATCCATGGCGAGGCGAAGCATTTGGGAGAAAATGACAAACGATAACAAGAAGGAAGAAGGTGAAAGAAGTCTAAAATCGAGTGGTCACCTTTCCTAACAGTCTGATTATATTCTTTCAATTATAGTTCGAAAGAACTGAATGCATTCTTTACTGACATCCTCTACTTGTTATGGTTTATTTTTCTAACTCATTTGAAATATTTCTCTCTATTTCTATGCTAGATGATAGAAAGTAGTGAGGTCATAAAAACATGCTAGATATTGCAAATCTTTCGTTTGATTCTAAAGGCTGTTTCATCCTCTTGTATTAAGGAAGCAAATTCGAAGCACATATAGAATCCATAATTACCGGAAACCTGGAGAGCTCAACGATAGATGGTGTGATGAGTGTGCCAATTCTCCGAAAATTTATTGCTGCATCTGGGTCTCAGAATGGTATGCGTTTTCAATCATTAGTAGTGAATGGCAAGCCTTTGTTGCGACGATACTCTCCTGCTCCTTCTGCATTTAACGTCTGCGCTTGTAGCGTCGCATTTGATTGTCCAGATCCTTTATGGTCCGGAGGTCAGTTTTTGTGTCAGTACGGTGACAACTGCACAGAGGATACAGTGGTCTGGAGAGTACCTGGCCTAGTCAAGTCATGCAATCCTTTCGAATCACTTTTGAATTCTAATTTACGCTGCTTCTTCAGTCAGACCTGTTTGAATATTCTTCTCTCCATGTTCAATGTTGATATGCCTAAACGATTGCCATTATCTTCAGCTACCATTAACATTAAACCTTTGAATAGTTCAGCTTTATCATTGTTCTCACTGGAAGATACACTTGAGACCATTTTCAATCGGCTGATGGTTGAAGAGTGGAAAATGAACTCAAACTTCGATGGCTACTATAATAGTTGTGCTCCTGCTACCTGTACATACAGAATCGTACGGCGAATGGATCGTGTTTATATTTTTGCAATTGTCGGTGGACTGTTTGGTGGTCTTGTCACTAGTCTTCGTCTTATTGTTCCGGTTGCTGCAAAACTTTTCTACTGGATTATCCTTCGTCAACGTCGACGTCGAGCAAATATCCATAATCAACAACGTGATAGGCATGAAGGTAAATAAACATCTCGTACTTAGCAGCAAAACTATGTAGTAAGCATGCAGATGAGAAAAGTATTGAACATCTTTGGGCCACTTCTCTGTGACTTTTTGACCAAAAGCAATTTTCATCTAGAGGATAGTGGATTATGCTTGCGATGGTATGAGAAATTATTGATGCTTTCATCTTCTATTTTTGAACAAAAAACTTTCAGCGCAATTCTGAGCGAAATACAATTTGAAGTGTGATGAAGCCGATTGTGTACAGATATGAAGACTCTTACTATGTTTATCATGATTCAATCAGAGCTCAAGAAAATACTCTTCAGAAGTGTCGATGACATAGGATAATATACCACATTGAGAAAAAGAGAAAGGACTTTTGGATTTAGTGGATTTCGAATAAATAAGAAATCCTAAAATTCTTTGACAATATCAAAGTTTGAGGTGTAAATTTTTAAAAGAATATGTTGACGTGTCTGTCACGATCTATGACTACGCCAGGAAGTGGAGATTCACTTTTCTCACCATAGGCTTCAACACTCTTTAACTATCGTGTTTATAAAACTTAAGTGATTACATTCAATGCAATACAATAAATTTATCAAAACAGTTTTCCTTTTCTTGTATAAAATTCAGGACACAAGGAATATATGAATAAATATGCTATTCGATTCGTGAAAATTTCTCTTTCTATGAACCAAACTTGATAGATTTGAATTTGAGATTATCACCATGCGATGCATACATCTTATTTTCGACAGACATTTTCATAATAGAATGATTGGTTTTGTGTTCTGTCTTTTCTTAGATCTATTATATCGACTCAATAAACTAAGAATTGAAACAAAGAAACACTTGATCAAAATGAATCTGTTCAGAAAAGAAAGCTCCATTAGTCAAATACCAGATCGTGAAGAGGTGGCACTTACATCAAGTCGAATCTATATTGTTTTGCTCAGTGCAATCATGACAATATTTGCTCTTTTAAACGGTTTCACTGAAATCAGCGTCACCAAAATGGTACTATCACCTTCACTTTCTACATTTGAACAACTTCAACAAACATATCCAGTCACACTCTCATGTTATTGCCAAACGGCTACTCTACCACGCGGTAGATTCATATCTATCAAGCTCAAATATCATCAGGTAATTTATGTGGATCGATGATATTCATATTCATATGAGCATCATTTCTCTATGCATCAGTAGAGGATAGTTCGTCATACGAGAATGAGGCTTCTCTTGGAATATGAAACGTTATTTACAGGACTGACCTAAGGTAGCCAATATGAGACAAGGGGAGGAATTGGACCGTTGTGGTATTTTAAGGGAGAGGTTGAAAAACTGTTTTGACACCGGACGCAGAAAAAATCTTTGGCCTTACTGGAAAAAACGGAAACTTTTCATGATGATAAGTTCACATCCACAACGCTGCCCAATAGGATCAGCCTGTTTATTTATATGCAAAGACGCAGAAAAATACACTTGTAGTTTGTATGATTTTCAAACATGGAGAGCTCTTAATTGTTAGTTGATACTGACACATAATGCTACTTACTGAAGATAGGAAGATCTTTTATAAAATGACAGCATATTAAACTTAGCTTTTTTAGACCTCTAAGTGCTGTTGCATATGATATTATCTGTAATTTACTGATTTCTAAGACTTTTTATGTCATGCATTGTTCAGATCTGTTCGAGTGCATTTATCAATACAACATGGATAACGCTATTATATGGATATGGACCCTCTGCAAACAGCCATCTACAGCTTGATCGACCTCTTCTCAGCAAGCATTTTCAAATTTTGAGATGGATGTGTGAAGAATTAATAAAGAGTGCCGATGTACAATTGGAAAAATTCTATCAAATATCGATAATAAGCGCAACTGTACGGCCTCGAAGCTCATGGAATATGTTCGGAATCGTCGCTCACCAAATTCGCTACTTACCAAAGGAATTTCAACGGCTTCAATATTTCCTACTTGAAATATTTCACTCGAGTTTTTTGCCGACAACCTTCAATACTGATTGGTTGTTGGAGTATGGTGACGAATCGGATGGTTATCTTATTCGAAGTGCACCTCGCGCATTCGCTAATAGTACGTGCAATTGTATGATTTCGGGAGCATGTCAAGAACCACTACGAATCGGTCCACCAGGTCTCTTTTTACCCGGTCTTGTTGTTGGATGTTTACCATATGATGGACTTCGTATGTCCACACTTGAATGTTTCTTCTCATCAAGTTGTATCTCTACCATCCTCACTTATCTTGAATACTACACACAAATGGATGGCTCACCACCTACAGATTTCGTTCCACCGAAGGTATTACCCTTGACTATATCTCCATTAGACAGCTCAATACCTTCAAATTTTTCAAAGAACACTTCAATCGGTACACTCTTAGACGAATACTTTCTCGAAGGGTGGACATATACAGCGTCATACGAAGCTTATTTTGCTGCGTGTGCACCATCTCACTGTAATTTTGAATATGCTACACGCAATAATCTCTTGCACGCGGCTACATCAGTACTTGGTCTCTATGGTGGTCTTACAATTGGCTTACGATTCATCATCTGGAATGTCATAAGACTTTATCGATGGATGAAAAGGCGTATTCGTTCTCGTCGAGTTACTGTTCAATCATGATTTAAAAAACAGGCAGAATTACATTTCTTCAATCAAGCATTATATTGAGTAACTGTTTTCACTATCAAATTTCATGTAATCACTAAGCTTTTTCGTCTTTGTTTCACATTGATATTCAAATAGCTTGAGCCATGTTGTCTTTGTTGCTTTCATGCTGATATCAATTACTTATTGTCCAAAGCTACATGTTCATCGATATTGTCCTTCAAAAAAAGAAGAATAATGTTAAAAAATTCATGATACAAATTGATTTATTTAACTATCACATTGCTATCGTATTATCCATTGAAGCATTGCATAAGTAACTGGAATACAATGTTCCTATCTCATTTTGTATGCTTTTGATCAATATTTTACATATCTTCATCATAATATGTCTCTCAAAATTCAGACAAGAAAAGTTCGAAAAACACATACTTGGCGAGGAAAAATAAAGGAAAGTAGAAATCCAAAAGCACTAAATACTTGAAAATCTCCATCGAGAAGTATGTGGTCTCTCTTGTGTTACGTTGCTCCATTAATAAATCATTTCTTTGAATGAATAAATGACCTGACTCAGAAGTGATGCAGAAGTTTCCCTGTACCTATCTAACTAAGTCAATAGATACTTTGCTTGGATTGAGGAATCTATTGCACTATTTGATGTGTTTAACTGATGAAAGCTGTGAGAATGTTTTCCCTCCTCGGTCTCGCATAACTGTAGAATCAGTAGTCGAACGAGTATTCTACTTGTGAGAGAATCTCAGCAACGGATACCCTCCGTTTAACGCAATCCCCTCAAAAATCGATCTCAGACCAGAAACATTCGAATGATATGCAATTTTTACAATATATTGAGGCTGATGTGGGAAAACTATAGTAAAATTTTCAACCCTTTATCATGATGTTTGGCAGAGATATTCATCAAACAAGGGTCGAAAATAGCTCGATCGCATCTCTAAGATTTCTCAAAAGAGCTTCATTGTAACTAATAACTGTTTTTGTGTTTGAAAACTTATGCTTAGGACTAGTTCCTCTCATGGTCGTTTTTTTTAAATTCTTACTCTTTAAGCGAAGAGAAGAGATGACAAGTTCAATGACTCAAAAAACCCCTAAGAAATGGCGCTGTTTCTGGGATATGAGTGTGGGATAGATGTGAATGAAAGACGTTATTCTAGACCAGAGGGCGAATCGAGCCGAGTTTTTCTAGATCGAGTTCGGTTAGGTTCGGATTCACTTTTGGAAAAAAGGTTCGAGTTCAGTCCGGTTCGACCTCACTTTTGAAAATACGGTCCGAATTCGGTTCGGTTTGGATGAATTTTTCGAAAACCGGCTCAGGTTCGGTTCAGTTCGACTTCTTTTTCGAGAAAGTGGTTCGAGTTTGGTTCGGTTCGGTTCGGCTAGTCTTTAAAAAAACAGTTCGACTGCGGTTCGACTGAAGTAGTATTATTGCCATTGAATCAAGGCTAGACCAAAAGTCAAAACTTAGTTTGCAGACGATCAAAATTGTCACATCGTAGTTCATATTCGTGTCGTTTAACGCTGATAAATACATTTGTAGATTAAAATTATATGTTAACACTGATACATGAGAATTAGAAATATTCTAGTGCTGATACTAATCTCATATCATTACGGACGATTATTCATTGCACTTTAGAAAAATGGAGAAATTTATAAAAGAAAAATCAAAGAATTATGCCACATAAAAGTGACCTGTCATCATAAACACAATTTTTGTAACTAAAACTAAGAGAAAAAGTAGACAGCAATGCATAGATATTAAATTAAGCATGTGAAACAATCACTAAATGTTCGTTTTTATTTTTCTTGACGGCATTATACTTATCCAAGTCAATGATAGTTTACTTACTTTTTTGTTATTCAACATTAAACCGTGTTCAACTTTTTTTGCTTCAAAATTACTTCAGGCCCAGTTCGGTTCGTCTTTATTTTTGAAAAAGTGGTTCGAATTCGATTCAGTTCGACTCCATTTTCTAAAAGTCAGTTCGAGTCTGGTTCGGGTGTAGGTGTGGGTGTCTATTTAGAGGAGATTCACACCCATATCCTCACCCACACCCAGTTATCCTCACCCACACCCACATCCACACTCATCCACACCCTCACCCACACCCACTCACACCCTCACCCACATCCTCACTCACACCCTCATGTCCACACCCAAATCTTCAACAGGCTCCTCTAGTATATAATGAAGTCAAATGATGAAAAGGTAACATGTCAAAATGTCATGTAAAATTCTTCCTTCAAACAAGAGATTTCCCTAAAAATATCGTGTTCGTGAAAAGTATGCTAACATAAACATTTGAAAGCCAAATAATGAGTGATCACCATAACAAATTTATAGTGCCGTTTGTTAACAGAGTTTTCATCATGTCGCCTCCTCCTTGTTCTCCAATTCGATTACCCAGAAGGTGAAGTGTGACAAGTGTCTGTATGAAAAGTCAATATATCAACGAGCGAGATCAATAGAAAATGATGTCTTACCGTGTTCGCAGAGAGAGCATTGGCAAGATGTTGTGCCCCTTCGTCTCCGATTTGGCTATACTCAAGGTTTAGTGTGCTGAGCGTCTGTGTGGTAAGTGGAGATAGTGTGTAATGAGATAAATAGAAAGTGATGTTTTACCGTGTTTTTGGTGAGAGCATTCGCAAGATGTCGTGCCCCTTCATCTCCGATTCCGTTCCACTCTAGGTTGAGTGTGGTGAGTGTCTATGTGAAAAATTAAGAGAGGGTATCGAACGAGAAGAGTAGAAAAGGTGTTATACCGTGTTGTTGCTGAGAGCATTGGCCAGATGTTGTACTCCTTTGCATTCGATTTCATTTTCCCCAAAGTCTAGTGTGGTAAATGTCTATGTGAAAAATTGAGACAGTAAAGAACAAAACGAATAGAAAATGGTGTTTTACCGTGTTGTTGGCGAGAATGTTGGCAAGATATTGTGCTCCTTCATCTCCGATTTCATTCTTTGCAAGATCTAATGTGGTGAGCGTCTGTGCAAAAAATAACGATAGTGAAAAGAGAGATGAGTAGAACATGATGTTTTACCATGTTATTTTTGAGAGCATTGGCAAGATTTCGTGCTCCCTCCTCTCCGATTTTATTATGCCGAAGGCTGAATGTAGTGAGTGTCTGTGTGAAAAATCGAGACAGTGAAAAATGGGATGAGTAGAAAGCAGCGTTTACCATGTTGTTTTTGAGGGCAGTGGCAAGATATTTTGCTCCTTCCTCTCCGATTTTATTATGCCGAAGGTTGAATGTGGTGAGGGTCTATATAAAAATTAGAGTCAGTGAAGAGCGATATTAGTAAAAAATAGTATTTTACCATGTTCTTGATGAGAGCATTCGCCAGATGTTGCGCGCCTTGTGATCCAACTTCATTCCACCCAAGGGCGAGTGTGATGAGTGTCTGTGTGAAAAGATCAGATCAAAGATATCTGGTAATAGTAAATGGCCGGTGTGGTACGGCAGAAGATTCCTTATCAGTCTATAGCCACAACTTTTTTTAATAGCTGGAAGAGATCTTTTCAACTTTTGATTGTTTTTTTTCGAACGACTGATCATAGAAATATTTTTCTTCACAAGTTAAACGACTTTCACTGATGTCAATGACTATTTCTGTGAGGGAGTATGCATCAGAATATTTCCATTGAGGGAGTATGCATCAG